AAGAATAGACGAGAGAAACAACACACACACACACACACAAACGAGAGAAGAGGAATAATTTCTTTCTCTCTGTGTGGAGTTTTACTTTAAGGTTAGGTATTTTTTTCTACTATTTTTTTTTTTTCCGTTTACTCTTTCTTTTTCTTGCTACTTATATATATATATATGTATATATGTATATATATATGATATTTAACAAACTGGTAGCACTCTATTACGCTGGTCAATGACAAACTTTTTTTCTGTCTTTTTTACTTTCTATTCTCTGTGTACGTTCTTCGTCTCTCCTGCATGTTTCCGCCACAATTCTTCTTTTGTTTCCTCTCCGTGTTTGCTTTGAAAATGTAGATAATTATGGTGGATAGTGACGAACAGACGCGCTTGGGCGACACGCAGTCTTTGGGCCCAGTGGGCACTCAGAAATCGTTATCGGACAGTGTTTCAGTGAAGGAGTGTCTCCTCTCGCGTATTAAGGATGGGTTCGCTTCCAGCGCCTATTGGGGAGCTACTGGGGAGGTGCCGCCTCGCGAGCCAGACGATGTTGCCCGAAAGAAACCTCACACCTTTGAAATGGAGATTAGCAAGAAACTCGTTCCCTTTCCAGAAGAGAAGACCAGCCTGCCGCGGACACTAGACTACACACACGTTGGATTTCACCGCCTAAAAGGAGATGGGTCAGAGGTGAAGCCTCAGCTTAATGCCGCCCAGCTGAGGCATTTGGGCGGCAGCGGTGCCCTCACGGCAAAGGGCTCCGGCAGCGAAACGAAACCACGTTTGATGGAGACAACAACAACGCAAAATCGGACCATTGGAAACGGCACATTTGATCCTGAAGTGATTGATGCCCTTTCGAAAGGGATGGACATGGATACCTTTTTGAAAGAGCGCGACCGTTTGAAAAATATGCCACTAGAAGGTCCGGCGCCTGATTGCTACCGTCCCACCTCGTGGGATTACTGTGACATGAGTGGCATTGATCGTTCTTCGTACTGGGTGATGCAAAAGGATCCGAATGCACCAGACAGTGATGGCTTGTTACCCGTGTACAAGAGCCGCTACAATTTGGTAGAAAAGGAGGGCCCTGTTCGACGCGGAGAGACAACAAAGATGCTTGAGCGGGGAAACAATGTAGACAAGGGTTTATTAAAAGATACCATGAATGGTATGAACACGAAAGGGTTACCAGAGGGGTATCAGCCTTGGTCAGCACAAGAATGGATGAGTACGACGCACGACTGCCACGCCCCGTATGATGTCGCCAGAGCGGCTGCAACAAACGCACGTTTTGCAACTGCCCCACTTCCTCGCACGTATCATGATTTGACACCGGCACACGAGCAAACCGTTTTGTCACTGTCCCAGAGGTACATGATGCGACACGCGCGTAATTGGGCTACAGAGTACTCTGACTCTTACATGGATCGCCTACACCAAGCTGAGGTGAACAAGGATCATAGTAAACGAAGCATTTTTGACCTTCAAAATGGCATTTACACCATGCACCACTCTGCCCATCACCCACGTGATGATACAGCCACTGGGGAAATGTACACACCGAGCCAAGTGGTTCCTGGACAACACACAACAATGAGTGAGCAACCATTTCACGCACGTAACGCGTTGAGACGGAATGAAACTAGTTCCTGAGCATAACTCCAATGTTTTGTTTTTGTTTTTGATCTTGATTTTGTTCTTGTTTTTTGTGATGTCTGGTTTATGTCACACACGCACACACGTACACACGCGATTCATTTTGTGAGTGGAATAGACGGCTATGTATTAGATTGACATGTAAGAGATCCAGCTGTTGAAATTGTTTTGGCAAATAAAGTGAAAGCAACAGTGAAAGGGGCAGAGTGCTGTGTACCGATTGTTTATTTCTTTCACCTCCAAATCTTCTCCCTTCCTTTTGGTTGTTTATTGTGGTGGCTGCCGCTTAGGTTGTGTTGTGTTTTTAGCGACAAGAGGGCTACTGATGAAAGACGTCTAGCCTTCTGATTGCTCCAGTTCTAGAGGCAGAGCGGCGGGGAGCTGGGTGGTCACCTTAACGCTTCCAAAAGCGGCGCGGAAGCAACGTCTGGCAAACCCCGTCATAAAGTTCGTTGAATATTTTTCTCCGACGCCATGGAAAAGCGTGGACGATGAACAGTGACATCTTGTTTTTTTTTTTTTTTGAGAGAAAAAGGGGTCTTCGCGGGGAGAGGCCGTGCGTGGGGGGAACGGGTTGCTCTCGCTTCTGGACGAGAACACGCGGCACGAAGTACTCAGAACAAAAACCCATTGTCACTTGGCAAGAGCGTCTTGTGTTCGTGTTATTTTTAGACACTTTGTGGGCTGCGAGAGAACACAATGCGCCTGTTCTTCTGCCTCAGCTGGAGGTTTGATGTCGTTTCTCATGAGTGACATGTATGTATCAGGCGTGGCGGCGTATGGAGGCGCGTCTCTGGCACAGGTGCAGTAATTGTCCCTTCGCGACTATGATCAAGTTGCTTTTTTTTGGGCTGGTGTATCTATCTCTGCGTACATGGGGTATGCTGAGTTGACAACGAGTATAAAGGAAAGGGATAGAACCAGTTCGATTGGAAAAAAAAAAGAATAATGATTTGTGGATGATTTTTTTTTTTGCTGTGCTTTCAGTTTGGGTTTGCTTTGAATGACAGTTGTCTGTTATTTGGCTGCATTACCGTTTGAAGGGGAATCTTCGCACAGTGAGTGAGTGCGTTCTGCTGCCTTCGTGTATAGATGTGGTTTGTCGCGTTTTTCACCACCGTAACACACATGCGTAGTAGTAGCTTGTTTAGGTATTGCCGTCATGCTGCGTATTACACTCTTTCTGCAGCGGAAGACGATTCAATCGTATCCAGTCCCACCAAAGATTCGGCATTTCAACCGTCGCTGGAGTAGCTCACGAACGAATTCTTACAACCGACAATATTGGCGCATAGTGATGAATGAGAACTACTCCCGGCCATCCTTTTGGGTCTCCGACTTTCGTCACCGCTACCTCATGCGGACGGGAACGGACTTTCAGGGGCAGGTGCCTGCCTCCCCCCAGCCTGGTCTGTACCAAGGCTTCAGCGACGTTCACAAGATTTTGGCAAATCATCCGAAGCCACAGAGGGAATCACGTCATTTACCAGTTATGCCAATGACTCCCCGCGTTGTGTTTGAGCACGCAAGTGAAAAAAAGATTGATGCCGCAAAGAAAATGCGTAGCGACAGAAGAAAGGTAGAAGAGCTGAAGACCTTAGAATTTTGGGGCTGGTATATGAAGCTGCAGCGTGTCCGTGGACGATGGTGTCGGGAGCAAGGTGTTTCTAGTCGTGGTGTCTACGGCCCTGCTGTAGACGCAGCCGAGTTGTGGGGATGAATTTCGTGCTTTTCTGTTTTCTCCAATGAATCCAGCTAGAGTGCTGGTCCTTTCCCTCCGCTATCCCTTCATTTATCACTTTTACAATCGTAGAACGACGCCATATATTATTGGCACTCATCCTGTGTTCCCCCCCTCCCCTCCCTTTTTTTTCCCCGTATATATATGCATATTTTTTGGGGGGGGTTTTCCCTATTCTTTGTGTTTTTCCTGTACGGGGTTTTGGCTTCTTGTTATAAAATGCATAGTTCCCCACAACGAGTGACCCTTTAGGCCGATGCCAAAGAAAAGCTCTCTCAAGAAACGCTCCACGCGGGAGGTTGAAGAGGAAGAGATCGTCGAGGACCTTGATTTAGATGTGGACGGCTACAATGTGAAAGACGAGGATGTCATCCACAACCGCCGTGGAAAGACGAGAAGGGATGAACAGGAGGACCTGGTGGCCGTGTTGCCCTCCGATGCCCATAAGTTGGAGGGCTACGACGACGATGATGACGAACGGGGTGCTCACTTGGAAGAAGAGGCCCTTGCACTGAAGGCCAACAAGAGCATGCGGCAGAGAGTGATTGAGTCGGACTTTGACGTTGGCGGCGTCTCGACTGCCGTGAAGCGAAAAAGAAACGGAGAAACAAACACCGCGCTCAATGTTACACCTGTCGTTGAGGCTGTGGAGCGTGATTACGCCGCCCTCTCCTCTTCGGAGCGGATGTCTATTGTGCAGAAGGAGTCTCCGGAACTGGTCAAGATGCTGGAAGAGATGAATCAGTATCTGGCTGAGGTAAAGGCGTTGGCAAAACCTTTGCAGGAGTTATTCTTTCAGCGTCGATTGTCCGACGCCGATCGCAATCTGGTTCAATTCCTAGAGACCAAAGTGCAGTTGATGCTCAGCTATTGCATGCACGTCACCTTTTATTTGCTCCTTAAGACGGAAGGCAAGAAGGTCTCAGGGCACCCTGTTATTGACAATCTGGTGGAGATTCGTGTATACCTTGAAAAACTCTTCCCACTCGAGGAGAAGTTGCAGTACTCGTTGAATCGTCTTCTTAGCGGTAAAACGGCGGCCGCGGCTCGCCTGGATACCCTGCGCCCGCTTCAGCACGGTGAGCGTGATGCCCTTGCGACAAACAAGGAGGCGCAGAAGAACCGTAAGCAGCTGGAGGCGATGAAGGAAGCAGAAGAAATTGAAAAGGAGGAATTGGCAACCATGAATCGCATCCGAACGAAGAAGTCTGCAGCAATTAACGACACTTCTACCCTCGACCGCAAGGCGATGGTCTCGGCGCTTGGCTACCGCGAGGACGAGGATCAGTACTTTTCCAAGCTTGCGGCTGGTAGCGACGAGGATGAGGAGGTCCAGGGGCTATCACTCATTGAGCGACTTCGGAGGCGGCAACGCTCACTCACTGATGACGTGGCAGGAAGTCCCAATGGTAGCGACGATGACGAGGATAGTGGCGTTGTGGTTGAAGATGACGACGATGAGGCTGCCAGCGATGAGGACGAACTCCTCAGCGAGGGCGAGGGTGGAGATGAGGGTGAGTACGAGGTGCTATTGGAGGAGGAGCAAGAACGACAGAAGCGTGCGAAGACGGAAGCGTTGCGGCCGAAGCCACAGTTCGTGGAGCCTGAAGTGGACCGCCGTAAGACGAATAAGAAGATTGAGACCCACCGTGGCCTTACAAAGTCTCGTCCCAAGGACCGCAAGACACCTCGCACGGCGCAGCGGCGCAAGTACGAGAAGGGCATGCGCATTCACAAGGCCCAGACCCGCAGCTTCCAGCCTGAGCCTGAAGGCGGGTTCATTGGTGTGCCCTCCATTAAGTCGAAGGTCACTCAGAGTGTTCGGTTTTAGCGGAACAATTTGTCTGGGCGAACATGAAGAGGCAAGAGACCAAGAAGCTCAATATTTGGGTTGTGTCAGTGTGTGGTTGGGGTGGCCTTTCATTTTTGTCTTTTTTTATTGTGTATGTAATGCTGTGGAGAGGAGAAGGAAGAGGAAAGTTATAATAATAGAATTACGCTAAGTAGTTAAGCATGAAAGAGAGAGAGAGAGAGAAA